ACCATCTATAATTCTGTCACACAGGTATTACTGCAATCAGACATAGTTTCACTGGCTAATCAAAGCTAGACCACAAAGCAGACTCTTTGAGGAGAGATGAAAGAAATTTTGTTTGTCTGAAATGCAATTAGAGGCACATCTGAATTATTCATTCGTGGATGAAGAAGGTCCCATTGCAGCAGGAGTCACAGGAACAGCCATGAGAGACTCCAGTCAGTACAGCTGCCCTACAGTCTGAACTGATAAGGAATTTAAATGGTGAACTGACAGTGAAGTGAGGCATGTGCATTGATGTAATACTGGTTTCTTGTCTGCCTTCTTAGTGTAATACTCTATATGTTGAAGCTGTTCAGAGAATGCATCAGACTGAAGAATAATGGTCATTATCTAGAACATGGAACTGAGTATTTGGAGCTAGGTCTGTACAAAGTGTGGTGGTGAGTAACTGTACTCACTGAGGACATTTAAAACCCTGACTGTTCTGTGAATGTTCTGCTAATGACCTGGTCTGCCCTTCTTTACTCAAATCATTATTGGTTCATCTTTCATAGTTTTTTTATAATAATATCTTTCTAAATTATTACTGTCAGGAGAATTGACTCTTAGATTCCCCAGCACTAAAGGACACGCTACAGTCCATTCTAATTTGGTCACATTGAGATTTTTGTTCACGTTACCTCAAAAAAAATCCTTGTATGCTTCATATTCATGGGTCTCATAAGGCCCAATTTGCATCATATTTCTCCTTCCTCGTTCATCCTCAATACCTCTAAGTAATTCCTTTCCTTAGATTAGGCTGAAAAATAATGTCATTGTGGACTGCAGTGTTGATGTTATGCCACAGATTCTTGAAAAGTTAGGATTTGGTGCCAACTTTCAGTTCTATTTTTTAGCAACTTCAACACAACTTTGCATTTGTATTTTGCAATACTGTCCTCCTGAAAGGCAAGTTGATATCTGAGGTAAGCGTACTGGAAGAAATTATCTTTCTTATTATCCTTCTCTAAAACATTTATCCAGGCATAAAACTAATGTCCACTAAAAATAAACTTCAATTGAAGTACAATATGGAAAGAAATATCAATACATCATTTGCAATCCAGTAAAACTGGAGATTTTATCAAAGCTCTGACTATTTTTGCACTCTATATTATAGAATACAGTTTCTTCCTGTTGTACTAATCATCTCAGTGGTTTGCAAAATGACATCGATTTCATACCAAGGCAAATAAAATAATTTTTTCATTATTCTTTGGACATTATAGATCCTTTTTATGTATCCTGTAAAGTCATTTTCACCCTTTTCCTTGCTTGTCCTTGAATTTGCTGGAATACAGACAAACTTTGTGCCACTTTTAATTCCATCTCATTATAGGCTATAAACATGGCAAGCTTGAAAGGACGTTTGAAGAGTTGCCAGTTCTCACTGAAGTCAAGGATATATAACCCAGCCACTATGGCTCCTGCCTACACTAAACTGGAGCCAGACATTTCCTCATTATGCCATTACAGCCCCTGTACTGCTCTTAACTCTTATTGTTATTACTGTTTTATTGCAACTGACATTTCAAAAAATCTCAATATCAAACACATAATTCTTATATATTGTGTGTAATAGCATGTTTTCTGAAAGGAATGGAGTTGCTTGCTTTGTAATGGCTTTTTTTTGAAGTAAAACGTCATCAAATGACTCCAAGATTCTCTTGTGAGGATGAGAATATGGTGAATCTGTCAACATAATTTTGGACAATGATGAGCATGGCATGGACAGATCTCTGTTAAATTGATCTCACTCAATACTGTGTATTCTTTATATATGACCAACTTTGTATTTACCTTATTTTCCGAAATGGTATGTCTTTTTCAGTGATGATATTGTACAAATTTTTATCTTGGAAACAAGGCTAGTTTTAAAAGCATTGCATTAATGTATGAATTTAATATCCATATCATAATGATTTTCTGCCACCATTGTAGTCACGCTCTCGGCCCCAGGCCTGGTTATATTGTGTCTGGGTCCAACATCCATCCATTTTCAGTAAAAGCATTATTCAGTGGCACATTGTTCTGAACAGAAGCCCTTCAAATAGGTGGATCTCAAGTTTCTTTCCACAGCATAGCCTGAAGATATAGCACTGGGGTTAATATTAAACTCCACGTTGTTGTGTAAATGGGTTGTGCGTGCGTGCGTGTGTGTGTGTGTGTGTGTGTGTGTGTGTGTGTGTGTGTGTGTGCGTGCACATGCTTGTGTGTGAATGCATACGCACATGAGTATGCACATAAGTATGGGTATGAATGGGTACACATGAAAATATGTGACATTTGACATCAGAGTGACATTTCATCTAACTTTTTTCATGCATTGCTATTTGTTTCCTTTATTTTCCTGTTTTTTTTTTTGTGTATTTGCTCTGTGCAATGCGTCAATTATATCCCACACCAGTAGCATGATGTGCTTCTCACCCAGCAGGCTCAGGACACTGACATCTGTGAGCCAATTTCGATCCCTTTTCACAAGTGTGGAATATCATTCAATAGATCAGTCTGTTACAGGGTAATGTACTTTACCTCTGTCTGGAACTTCAACTAAATGTAATTTATCTTTTTTGTTGTAGACTCCAGACCTTGTAGAGAGGCTAATCACACTGCTTTCATAAATATTGAATGCATTAAATTCACAATACCAATTAAGGCATCAATTGGTATTTTATTTTTCAGAAAAAAAAAAAAAAACCAACAGCTTTTAACTTTTTAGCCAATTAAAATGGTTCCTTGGCCAAGTATGAAAAAGCATTTGAAAAAAACAAACCATGAGAAGGAAATTAAATTGCTGTCAAAATGCATGTCAGCATACAATTCAGGATCCATCAAATAGTCAGACTACTTCTGTGACAAAATCATACCCAAACATAATTACATGGAGTATTTGCCAACTGATCTCCAAATCATTTCACTGACAAAACCTGCAGGCAATCATATGAAATATCAATAGGGAAACAACCATTGTGTAAAACATTACAAATTATATTGTACAATACATTATTTGATTGGTTCCGTCAATGGAACAACATATAGTTGTATTACCCTCACTAGGACATTAATACATTTAAATGAAAGATTCATTACAGTATGCAGAATTGTGTATATTGTATCAAACCCTTATATTTTCTGGCAAATATAAAATAGAATAATATGAGTTCAAACAGTTACCATTAGACATAAATTCTTACTTGTGCACTCAACTAATATGTACCATGAGTCCATTCACAGATATTATAATAACCCTCTCTCCATACAATGATGCAGGCCTCTGAGCAGGGAATGGGGGCACACTCTTTTGACCCATTAAGGAAGTAGGTAAAGAGGCCACTCTTTTGACCCATTAACCTCCAAACGATTTCATCGTGGTTTACACTCAACATTTTTTAATACCCATGACCATATAGCATTTGTGTGTAGTGAAATACTTCTTCTGTTGAGTTGAGCAGTGAAGCAGCATTTATTTTCACTATCCAGCACAGGGTAGGCCAAATGAAAAGTTCCAGTGGTCAAGAATGAAGGACATTCAAACAAAAAAAAACTCTTTGTATTCTACAAACAACACATGATAGATTAAGAAACATTGTGGTGCTGGTGGTTTTCAACAGGCTTCAACTGGATTTTGAATAATAGTGTACTTTAAAATCAATTTAATTAATATAGTAAACACCTACTCCTGCATCTATTTATGAGCCCTGTTTATACAATTTGTTGATTTTTGAACAGTTGTTGGCTTTCTTCCTTGTTTATACTTTATTCATAACTCAGGATGATCCCAAAGCTGCCACCTCCCACCTCTGACTGACAATTCGGGGGTCTTTGGAAACAGCTGACCGATATTCTAGATAAATATCCTGAAAAAGAACCTGACAAAAATACCTTGTGGATTTTCTGAGCCAACTGCCTCATTGCCCATGGTCAGGGAATTAAGCAAGGTAATAAACATAAATGTATGTTTTACGTCCCAGCACTCTGAACTACTGACCTTCTGTTTTTCAATCTAAATGTGAGCTGAAGTTAGTCAGCTGGGTGAAAGCCAGCAAAAAACTATGTGAAGTTCTTTCCAATAAAGGTGAAAAGTCTGGAGGAGTATAAAATGAATTCCTTTCCCTGCACTTAGGGGCAGCCTGTAGTCCAGTGGCTAAGGTGCATGACTGGGACTCCTAATCAGCTGTAAGTGGCTTTGGATAATAAGCCTCACCTAAATAACTATAATGTGATGTAATACTTTCCTCCAAAGTTGACAGAACTGAAACTATTCCAGACTGTCCATACAGGATCAACAGAGTTGCTCAACTCTGATTACATTGAGTAATTGAGTAAAACCTGAAAACAAGACAAACGACAAAACTAGAGAAAGAGAGAGAGAGAGAGAGAGAGAGAGAGAGAGAGAGAGAGAGAGAGAGAGAGAGAGAGAGAGAGCTATATACCAGGGTATCCTGTGGGTATCACTAGGATTTGTAGGCAGAATAAAGTCCACCAATCGCTATCAACATTTCTCTATTGGGTGTTATCTCACTGCTACATGGTTAGCTGAGTTCCCCTTTGTTTCATTTTAGGAAAATGGTGACTTTATGGTCAATGATACATACTTCTGTTGCTTAATAAGAATGTACTGGGAAACATTTGTGACAAAATTATCCAATGTAAACATATATTGCAATGGATGTAATTCAATGTGTATTTTTCTTTTTTGGGGGGAAGAAGAGAGTTTTCTTTTTTAGCATAACAGCACTGCTCACCATCTATAAACATAAAATGTAGAAGTCATATAGTTTTCCCCCAGCCTGCAGTTGCATCTAAGGGCTGTTAGATGGCAGCACAAGAGAAACATGGTAGAAGAACACTGTTAAGTGAAAAGAGGAATCAACTCCTATCAGGATTTGGCAGATGAAAACAAACTGGCATGTTTTTTTCACCAGTCACTGTCCGGAGTTCAAGATGGAATTGCCTTGCATAGGGCCTGGATAGCTCAGTTGGTAGAGCGTCAGACATTCAATCTGAGGGTCCAAGGTCCCTGTTTGGACATAATTCTTATTGTGGCCTGAAAAGTCTGTCTGCATTTAATTTTAAGTCATGAAAGATCAGCTTCAGCTGTGCTTCACGGTGGAGCAGAGCTCACTGCGCACAATATTGCAGCTTGTCAAAGTTGGAAACCTGCATGCTCCTGCCCACTGGCAGCCATTGCTTTGCAAGGCATCATCCTTGCTCCTGTGGATTAGACCTGGATTAGAGTCTTTGGGTGCGTTCTAATACTTTTGCTCCTCTCCTCCTTTCCTCCACTCCCCCACTGCCTTCACTTCCTGTCTGGACGTATGTGGAGGAAAGGAGTGGAGGAGAGGAGGAAAGGAGGAGATAAGAAAATCTGAACAGCTAATTCACTTTATCATCAAAATCGATGTCATCTATTGATGAAGTAGCAACTTCAACTGATACTGTGGCTACTTAAACCAATCACGACTTTCATCCACCACCAGATGGTTTCATGCATTAAAATATAAATGTCAGTTACTCTCATTCTGCTTTTGGAGTCATCATTTAACATAAATTGTGCAATAAAATCAATAAAGTTGTAAGACAGGTAACACGTCAATTTCAAATTAGTTAAATTGTCATTTGCAAAATTAAAACGTGGACATATTCATGTGGATATGTTTAAAAAAGCGAACCGTAATGTTTGACAATGACAGTAAATTTTCTGTTTACTGTTTACTGTTCTGACAGTAAATATTTTAATGTTTATAAATTCCTTGTTGTCTTTTTGAACACTTTGATGGGAAAAGCATGGATTCATTGTGGTCTTTCAATGTGACTTCCTGTAAACTCGATGATGTCACCAAGAATTGTGAAAAGACTTCCATGGTAGGATACATCGATGTCTTTCATTTGGAGGAGAGGAGGAAATGAGATTTAGCCTCCAGTGTTGGCCTCCTACGATTTTGGAACATTGGAGGGAGGGGGGGCACATTGAGCAGTTTCTGGAGGAATGGAGGAGATGACGTGATAGTGGAAGGAAGGAGTGTTATGTATATTTCAAGTCTGTACATTTTCCACATTACATGGGGAAGTGCCTGTCTGCCTGTCCACAGAGTCACACTGACCACATGACCACTCTTTCTCTCTCTGATTGTTGTCCTCAGCTCAGGCACAAATGCTGTCCTGTAGAGAGGGACTCTCTTGTGGAATCTTATGAATGTGCTAAGACAGTATGTGCTAAGATGGCATCACAGTGCACAATGCACAGAGGGTAGGAATGACCATTGCAGAATGAACTGATGATCCAAAGTACATGTAGCTCTGTGGCTATAAGTAATGCTGAGAGCCTTCACAATCCGCCCAAGCATTTGTAAAGTATTTTGTGAATCTAATGAGAGATGAGGTGACCCATAGGGGTTGAAATGAGGGGTGGAGATGGAGGGACAGCTCAGATGCCCCGCTCACCAGAGAGATCCTGCTTTCTCATGACTCGGAAACATTACAAATTCGGGACAATACATCTGCTTGCTTTGCCTTCATTGCACAGTCGGTCCCTTTGCCCTTGCAAACCACAGGTTTTTGAGAAAAGAGTCTGAAGGGTGCTTTGGCATAGGCATGTTGGTTTTTAAAATGAAGAACAAATCAGTTGCTTTCATTTTGTTGATGAAAAATTAGTATCATCAGAGCTAGCATGCAAGGTGATAGCAGGATACACAATAAGTCATGTGTGAATGTGGTATAAATTAGGCTGATGACCTGGAGAAGACCCTGACTATCTGACACTCTCAGTGGGAGCTCAATGCACTGAGCCAAGGGACTCCTTAAAAAACAACCTGCACATTCACCACACTTCATTTCATGCTGTGTGGCTTTCATCCCATCCTCCACGGAGCCCTGCCAACAAACAAACAACTAAAACAAGCTTGTATAATGTTGGCAAGAAGGAGGTCAGATGGTGGTTGAAGGTGGGGAGGTGTGGGAGTTTATAAATATGTGTTCTTTTATCTTCAGGATAAAGCTATACTGGCTAACAAGTTGGAAAGCCATATAAATATGCTCTTTTAAAATCAATGAAAACAAACAGTTTGATTAGGTCTTAAGACATAACAAGGGATGGCAGTATACAAATTTTCTATCAATGTTTTTTGATACAAAAAATGTATAAATCTGTAGGTGTGATTCACACACCATTTGCCTGACAGTACTCCCAGATGAGTGAATCATTGGATAGAAATGCGTCATTACTTTTAAAGAGATCCTGGGTATGAATTTTCCCCTCGTTGTAGCATGCCTAAGAATTTGTGCTGCAGCTGTGAAGTAACTGCAAAAATAGTCACAGCACGTCAATCATCTCTGTGACTGACAGCAAAACGCTCAACTCTGAGCTGCAGGCGATCATCCATGTTTGTCTTTTCCATTTTGGGATGACAGAAAACTGTATAAATACAGAAACTATAAATATTCAGAATGTATATAAGAGCAGACAATGACATTCAGTATCCTGGACAGGACTATGTGGGTAAGTAAATTAATAAATGATGAAATCAGAAATAGATCACATGAAGACAATGTACTGTTGTCCAAAGTGTTATGGGTAATTTAAAAGTGAGGGCCACACACAAAACTAAAAACAACTTGATAACTTGTGTAGTGATGTTCTTCTGAACATCACTACATTTCTTCCACTCTGTCTCTTACTCTAATTTCATCTACACCCCATGCTCATACATCTAAGATTTCTGCGTTCATGTCTTTATTACATTCTCCCTCTTAATCATCTGTTTCTTATCGTCTCCTGCACCAGCTAAGATTACGATCCCAAAACACACACAGTGTCCTCTGTACAAGCTAACGTACCTCATATGATGCTGATGGAGAGAAAGGAGCTATCACTGTTCTGTAATAACCTATGCTGACCTGGGCAGAGAGAAAATCTAATTCCTGCAAGAACAAGAGTCATGCGGAAGCTAATGGGAATAGCTTGCTAGTCCTCCCAAACCTCTGAGATACCTTACAACAAGTCTCTGTCTCTGCATCTTTAAACCATGTTGATAGCTTTCTTTTACTTGTTTTGATATTATTAATTATTATTATTATTATTATTATTATGAATAGGGGTCCTGTAGGATGAAAACAGTTCAATAAAAACAAGCATATATTAAACAAATACGTTCATTAAAAATGTTTTTGCATCATTACAAGGATACATTTTCTTTCAAAATATGTCCAAATTTATTTCTTGTTTCTCTGTCACCCTCAGTTCTTCTAAATACAGCTTTTCAGTTAGCCTTACATAACTGCTATCTTGATTGAACATGACATCCATTGGCTAATCAATGCACTTATATAATGTCTGAAACCAGTGCAGCTGCAATATGTTTGCATGCTGTGGAATGTGCTGTGAGGTTAAACAACTTTCCACTAAACAGCTAAATTAAATTCCACTTGTACAAGGTTCCAGTTGTATGGACAAAACCTAGATTCCACAGCAATGCATTTAAACAGCAATGGGGTGTAATAACACTGAAGAATGCACAACCATGTTTGTTTTTTATTGCTGTTCAGATTCCAAGACAGAGACACAGCATTCTGTCTCAACAATTGAATAAACCAGTACAAGCACATTCAAGCAAAATCACAGAGCCGGGTGAGTAAGGAGAAATGCCTGAAACTGTCACTGTTTTCTGCAGTTATGATTGAACTGCCAGAACTGTGACATGATGTTTGAGATATGAAGCCAGAAGGTTTTCCAATACCTGCAGAAACATGTTTTAATATTAAATACTTTGCTAGATTATTAATAACTTCACAAGGTCTAAAACACAGCACTATTAAAAAAAACAATAAAGACAAGGTTTTTGATCGATAAAAATGCTAGAGCTTTACATAAAAAAGGGTTGTGGCCTCTAGTCAAGAGACTTATGTAAAGTGAATGAGTCAGAGAGGAGAATGCTGAGATCTACAAGCAGTAAAGAAATATTGCTGGAATGTTACCTGTGGTATCAAGAGAGAATTTATTTCAACTTCAAACCAACCTCAGCAGATCACCCTAAAATAATTATAAAGACATGTTGCCTTTTATCATAACTTCTGAAATACATACTTTACTCCTGTTCTGTTTGATATAAAGTAAACAAAACTGAAATTTGAAATCAGAACTCTTTTGTGTTTTGAACAGAATTAAATGTGCATGTGGATGTGGCTGTATTCATAAATGCATTTGTGTGTGTGTGTGTGTGTGTGTGTGTGTGTGTGTGTGTGTGTGTGTGTGTGTGTATGTGTGTGTTTGTTTTAGTAGTGCAGGAAAATTTCAAAATACACCATTATCAGACATAGTACTGATCTGTACCAGTGACAAAGAGCACATGATACCTCTGGCTGTCAGGCTGTCACTGAAAACCAATTGCCTTCTATGGGAAATAAAAGAAAATAATAAATATATAAATAAATACAAAAACAACAGTCTGTTAGTGAAGACACATCTGCCCCACCCACCACTATGTCAGGAATACTGTCCTCTGCCTTGTCAGGTATCAGTTTTATGTATGAATGCCAAGAACTTGAGTTGCTTATAATGTAGCAAAAACATCCCATAATAAAAATGCAACAACAAGACCACAGGCACACTTTTGGTGGATATGAAATTACTAAATGAGAATTCTGTTATGAAACAGTGAGACACTGTCTTTGAGAGCTGGTGAATATATTGCACTTCATATCTTCTGTACAGCTGCTTTTCTTATTAGGACATTTTATAGTATGTGTGGAACAAACCTTATCCTTGCAATAATTTTGTGAGGGTGTGGTTGCCGTTCTATCACTCTCAGGCACCCATGCCTGCCCTCTTCCTCACTGTCAGATTGTCCTGTGGCACTCTGAATCCTAGGATTTAAAGCAAGCAGAGCATGTGCTGTTTCTTGCTGTGTTGAGTTGGGGTGAGATAGTGTCAGGCACCACCGACTTAAGGATATCGTTCTCACTGGCAATGATATATTTCACCAGGCAATTGGCAGCTTTGTCAATGTTGATATTATCCTGGAGAGAGAGAGAGA